TTTTCCAACAAGCGGGCCTGGCCTAGGGAGGATTTTAAATTGGGTTTTTTAGAAAATTTTAATACCACAACTCTAAAATATTTGGTTTTAATTTGGTTTTATTAGGCGGGGATTGTGGGTATGCTTTGTTTTAAATATGTTGTGAGCCGCCCTGAGTCCCGTTGGGAGAAGGGCGGGATATAAATCAAATAAAATGAAATGAAAAAATGAAATGAAGGAAGGGAGTTTATCTAGTTTCTGTCTTTCCATATTTTCCAGCCTTTGCCAATTTCATTCTGATTTGGAAGTTTAACACATGACAGGTAGAATTCATGCAGATTATTTGTTGATTCAGTTATTTAACTCTATTTCCTCTCTTCTTAGGGGCTTATTTCCAGACATCACAACAATACATGCGATCTTGAAAACAAAACAAAAAAAAAACCTGTTTGGCGTCCATGAGTCAACTATCAAAGTAAGGAAATCCATTGTTCTGTCAAAAGAAGCTTATGCAAATATAAAGATGGCACACTAATAAACTGTGTTTTGGCTATTCTAAAACTGAAACCTGAGTTAAAGGTGGTAAATGGACTATCGAAGCAAGAGTTAGGCTTTCTTTTGTTTGTTTGAACTATCAGACAATTCTAACTTACTTGCTATTATGTTAATTTTTGAAAAATAAACTGATATACAACTCTATGTTTACCTTAAGTTTAAATGTAAATAAATCAAATATGTTTCACCTTGTGTATTTGCTGCCCTAGACAGAAATAAGTCCTCTTGAGGTGTGGTTTGGTTACCAAGCAGCTTCCCAGCCTTCACAGCATGTTTTGGAAATTCTTTGACAGGTGCTGCCTTAACAGTTTGGAAACCACCTGAATTCAGCGCACAGCTAATTAGCTGCGACTATGAAGAAGAAATTAAGGTTTCAAAAGAGAAATATCAGTCCCAGTTGGGGTTGTTAAGCAAAGACAACCTGCACAGACTTCTGTAACAATGGCTCAATATTGATTGTCTTATCTTAACCACAAACTGGTGTCATCTAAGCCTGGACTATTGGGTAGCATATGATTAAACCTTCCTCCAGGAAAGCAGTATAAGGTGCAGAAGGGACCCTAAAGCAGAGCCACTCCTGCACCAATCCTCAAGTGTTCCAACTTTGTTTTCATCCCTAAAGAAAATCCCACCTGCCTCCACAAACTCTCACTCTTCTCTCTTTTGCTGTTCTATACAAACCAACAGAAATTGGCTATATACAAAGCGGAATGCTCTCCTTTCTAACCCTACATTTTTTCATAGAAGAATTGGATGATCATTGCCTTTACAAAACAATGTTCATTTTAGTCTGCCTTTAAAGTTGTAAATAATAATTAATCAATGTATCTTACAGTTGTTGATCAGTACAAAATAAGAACATAGCAAACATCACTCCCAAAAACCAAAAACGCATTGTTGAAATGCCTTGTGAGGCTTTAAACAATATTTTTAACAACCATGAACTATGGTTGTATAATACACAACTGTGTCAGCCGAAAGATAATTAATTCATGAACAATTGAAAGGCATAGGTGTTTAGCCACAGGTAAAAGAAAATGAGGGGACAAAGCTTTTGAAAACACTCAAGTATAATGACAATCTATTAAAAGGTTATAATTAAAACAAGAAGTGCATGGTCAGCACAAGCTAGCTCTGCACAAGCTGATAATTCCCCATATGGAAATATGATTAAATGTACAGAAAGAACAAACCGTACATATAAAGAATATCAGAAATATACACAAACACGCTGGATCTCAGGCCTACTGCAGAAGTCACTGCTTTGATAAACATTTCTTGCTTGCTTCAGTCTACATCATCCAATTTCAGTCACAGGTCTCAATTGGATTTTGACTTTTCCCCTTCCTACTAAGGCTATTTCTATTACCATGCCAGCATCCACACAGATTGCTGGGAATTGCTTTTCATCACAATGGAGGGAGGTATCAGGAGGGTCCTGTGTCTTCTACTCTTGATTATTTTCACTAATGATTTAGATGAAAGGTTAAACGGGATGCTTATCAAATCTGCAGGTCATACGAAATTTGGTAGGAGGGCTAATACTCTTGAAACAGAGTTCCAACCTTTTGGAGTTGGTGGCCCGGAGCGGGGGGAGAGGGGAAAGAAGAGATGCTTTTGTGGGAAGGGTAAACGCATGATTGTGCAAATGCACACAAACCCCTGTTGCTCACGTGTGTGGGGCTGCGAGCGCCTGTGGCAATGCTCATGAGAGTGAGGCCACAAACAGCTGCGACGCTCGTGGCGACACTTGTGCGAGTGGGCCTCTGCGCGCATACGCGCACACCGGCCAGCCACCTGGTAGTGAGCTGTGGCACACAGGTTGGGAACCCCTGCTCTAAAAGACACAAATAACATTTAAAATGAACTTGATAGGAATGGGGTGAATAGCAGAATGATATTTAACAAATAGATGCAAAATTCTTCCCTCAGGAAATGAAATGCAAAGGTATAAGAGCAGTGATGGCGAACCTTTTAGAGACCGAGTACCCAAACTGCAACCCAAAACCCACTTAAGTATCGTCGGGTGCCAGGTGGGGTAACCCATTGGGTGGGTGTGGCCCATTGGGTGGGCGTGGCTGCGGGGGTAACGGCAGACTGGGTGGGACTAAAAAGTTCAATCCATCAATTCCAACTTTGCGAGATCTTTTTTTTCCCGCGAGAAGTTGAAATTGATTGATTGAACCTTTTTTTTTTTTGCACACAGTGGCGGAGGCCTAAAGCGAAAAGGTTTTATAAAACCCAGCTGAAGGCCTAGGACTGGGGCGACGGCACGCATGCCCACAGAGAGGGCTCTGCGTGCCACTTGTGGCACGCATGCCATAGGTTCGACACCACGGAGATGGGGGATTGCTGGCTTGATAGGAGTAACTACAGCAGTTGATTGTTAACTAAGTAAAGTGTAAACCAGCAGTGGGATGTGGTTGTAAAGAAGGCAAATACTATTTTAGGTTGCATCAACAGATATATAATTTCCAAATACCAGGAAATAATTATTCTACTCTGTTCCCGTTTGGTAAGACCCTTCCTGTAGCACTGTGTCCACTTCTGCAAGTGTTCAAGCAGAGGCAAGACTGGAGCCTCCTTAAGAAGCTTTCATTTGGATTCCTGCACCAGGCAGGGGATTGAATGGATTTGAGGCCTAAATGGCCCTTTCAGCTCTGTGATTCTATGGTATTATATGATATGAACATGCTACACAATTTAAATTCTTCCTTGAACTTGGAGATGAGCTGCTCTTTTCTGCACAAAAAAAATAACGTTTCACAATTAAGCTGAGAATCCTATTTTTTAATAGTTATAGGATATAAAGATATCAATACAGTTTCAATGAAGGGATGACAAATCACAATGAACCATTTCCCCATCCATGGTTCTGCTGGACAACATTTATCCCCAATAATAAAGAGATTATTATTATAAAATAAAATAGCAGAGTTCTATATTTTATTTTCCTACCTGAATATTCATTTGTTGTTGCTGCAAATTTTCCAGATGTTGAATTCGTTGTTCCATGAAGACATTCATCTGCTTTTCAAGTTTGCCAACCCTCTGATTGCTAGAAGACCCCTCAAGCTGTTGAGCTTTCAGACTGGCTTGCTGCTCAGCAACACGCTGCAGCTGTTTATCTGTCTCTTGCAACTTATTTAGCATTTTGGAAACCGAATTCACTTTTGCTTCCAAGTCACTCTGGACCTGAGTGAGAAAACATGAAGATTATGCCTGAGAAATCTTTTGGCAGGAGTAAAGGAAATATAACAAAGAAACCTGCGATTATAATCTTTAAAATGGTATTTATGAATTTGTAAAGTTTTAAGGTGTACACTACTGTCTGAAAGGATCAAAGTGGGTAGTTGGATAAGCGAGTTTACATCCATAAACATTAAACCAATCCCCATGATACACCTTCTTAATCTGATTCTTGCTGGGACATAGCAACAAAGTTCTTAATATTCCCACAGACCGATTATACAATTTTAAAAAGAAAAGACAAAGCATGACAATTTAGCATGTACATTTAAACATTTGCTTAATCTGCTTGATACGTCCCACTCATAGGATTTTATTATGTTTTATTTAGCTACTCCAAACTGATGAAATTTATCACTCACTTTCAAAAGTGGGGCTGTGGAAGCAATAGCTGCTGCTGTTGCAGCTGCAATGGTTGTTGCTGAATCCATTTCACTTTGAGTTGACTTGGAACTGTCCTTATCTGGACACACGTTATTCAGAAGATTTACCTTCACTTCTTTAAAAACAGGCACATTCTGGATTCTGTATGCACAATACGGACATGTAAGCATATGTAGTATTTCTGAGACAATTTTTTTCTTTTTCAAAGCATATTTTCAGAAAACAAATTTCCTTTCAATAATAAAAGTAGACCTTCTGGGGTTCTCTTCCCCATTTAACTCCCTCTGCTTAAAATTTCAGGCAGAGAGAAGTCCTGCCTATCACCAACTAGCTAATCCTTTTAGCTCAAATGAAAAACTCATGAAATAATATAAGAGCTTCCTCTCTATATAATTACCATTCAATAAGACTAAAAACATATTATTATTATTATTATTATTATTATTATTATTATTATTATTATTATTATTATTATTATTATTATTATTATTAATTGAACTTATATGCCGCCCTTCTCCCAACAGGACTCAGGGCGGCTTACAGCATATTAAAACGATACAAACACTATCCCCAATAAAAACCAATTAAAAACAAATATTTACCGCTGTGTTACCATTAAAATTCTAATTAAAATTGTCCCTATTTAAAATTCTCCCTAGGCCAGACCCGCTTGCTGAAAAAGCCATGTCTT